TGCCCTCAAATATTTGACCTCAAAGTGCCCATCGATATAGCTTAACTCGAGTGGTGACAATCCCCAAAGAGTTTCATCAAATTTACCCGCGTCCCAATCGATGAAACCTCCTTTGACTGATGCATGTTCATTCTTGAGCCAACGACATCCCTTCTCAGATGTCCACCTGTCACGTGGGACAAAATCTACCGAGTCCTTAGAACTGAGCAGATTTTAACACAAAGTTTTCGAATCGTTCGCGCCCGGTAATCGGAATGCTACCCCAACAATTGCGATTGGTTCCCGCGACTTTGTCTCCTCCACCGTTGAATATACTGATATGCTTGATGCTAAGTTTTACTTAAAATCCAACGAAAGTTTTATTTAGTGAAATAATTCCTTATTTTCCTACTAACAAGCGATGTTCTCTTCAGACAACTGAAACTCACAATAAAGATTAATCTGCTTAAAATTTGTCTTTATTGATCAGAGTATAAGCTGTGTTCGCAGAGTTTATAAGAAAAAAAAGAATCACAAAAAGTATCGCAAAAAGCTGACTACGGAAGAGTCGCACAAGAAAGGTCCCTAACTTAAAAAAACGCAGAAAATCGCAGAAAAAGTCCGTAAGAATGGGAGAATAAACACAATAAAGTGAATCATTTTCATACCGTGGGTTTTGTACATTTCATCATATCTTTTACGTTTGTTTCCAAGGTTAGATGGAAATGATGAAAATGAGGTACCTCAAATTTCCTGCCTCACAAAGCAAATATTATACATATTTATATGGGGCTATTCATATATAATGTCATAAAAAGTTATCGATTTTGGCACCCACCCACCCAACGTAAACATTAAGGAATGGGGAATTTTAAAATGGGGAAGATAGAAAGACGTAAACCACCCACTAAAATGATGGCGTAATATATGAAAGTTCCCAGTGGTGTTGATTCTTATCTCAACAAGCAGGTGTTTATGGTTGTGCGCACAATATTATATATCTGAGGAGTGAAAAGTACTGCACGTGGAACACTAGATTGATGGAGTGTTTTACAACATTGGCGACAGAGCATCAAAATTACAGGTATCCACGCACATTATTACTATGTAACAGAGATAATACCAGGCAAATTTTTCGTACGCCCGTTGGTCTACAACCTACTATTACAAAGAATAAAAATCTTTATGCATTAGTCATGTCATCAGACTGGGTAAATCAATGCATAAAGACAAAATTTTGTTGAGATCTTATTGTTCTCTTTTGTACTTACTTAACGGATGTGTCATACTACAAATAACTAATAAAATTGTGTTATATAGATCCTCAGTACACCATACATACATGCACATGTATCTTAACTCACCAAAGTTGCATTTATCTATGACCGTTAAAATGGTCAAAGTTTCCAATATTCGTGATAATTTATGTATACGCTAAATAATTAATTACATACCTATGTGCCAAATAATGTCGTACACTTCCTTACATTCTATCTAGATACTCATCGCCACCAATTGGTTACGGTATCTCACTTGAAATTATTGAGACGACAAAATAAGTTTTTTTGGCTTACATACCTACCTACATATTAGTGATTGGTAAAAGAAAATTTAGCAATTTCCCAGGCAAGCTATGAATGTCTCAAGCATTTCAGGCAAGTATAATGTGGCGAATTACTGCTAACAATGAAGGCGCAAACTATTGGTTCCCGGCGCCCAACGTAACGTGCATTAAATCCTCACGTATTTCTTTTCTCAATACCTTTTCTGAAATTTCTTTTCGTATTTTTGAAAGCAATTAGCCAGTTACCATAGTAATTATGAAGGACTTAAATCCATTTACATAATATGTAAAAAGTCACATATTATGTGACTTTTTAGCATCATAAGCGCAATAAGGATGCCACTATAGGAGTGTATCAAAGATTCAAACAAATTTCCGACCAACTTCATCACCTCTTCAGCTCACCAATTCTCATAGGCGCGGCCATATTTTCTAAAGGATGGGGAATAATTAGTGCTATTTTACAGAAGTTTTTGTTTTTTCGTAACAAAGGAACTTTATTTAATTCCAACGTTGTCACTTTTAACTTAAATCGATTCGAATTTTTTTGGGAATCCGGTTGAAAAAATTGCTCCAATCTGTGTCATAGATCCTGCTCCCTCTCAGTCAGTTGTGAGCCTTATTAATAGTTATAATGGAAAAATTGAGATTGTAATAACGGCGGATAAAATACTACATATTCGCTGGAAACGATGAATTAGAAAATGTGATTAATAATATTATAAGTTAGATTAATGATATTGGGGATATGTAATTTAAGGAGAGATGAAGTCGAGATGAGTTTGGTTTAGAACATACATCAATTGTTTAAATAAAGCAAAGTGATGAGGAATTACACACAATTGTCCTAACTGAAAAAATGCATAATTTCGCACACTTACTCTAAATAAAGTTGTGTAAACTTGCAGAAAGGTTAGATTATTAAGACCGAATGACACAACAATTTAGTACACTTTTTCCAAGAGTGCAAAAATTTTACACGTTAAATAAATTTGATTCAATTTATTTCTAGTTAATAGGGCAGCATGGACAATGGACAATAGGAAAACTTAGGACTACAGGGAATTATTATGAGCCATATTACAAATGAGAAATACATACATACTCATGGCGTTTGTCATTTAACAACAGGGACATATTAAAAACAAGTTAGAGACAGCAAAATTACTCCGTCTGGAACTGGAATTTCCAGACGCAAATTTAACAAATCGGAAAAAATAGTCTTCGGGGTTTTGTTTTCATGAAAGCTTTGGTCTTTTTTATTACTGCTGTGAAATTGAATTCATAATTATGTATGCATCATAACAGCAACATATTTAAAATAAACGAACGATATAAACCTATTATATACATGTTTCTCAGAATAAATTGTAAAAACTTTAAAAGTGTTAATTAATAGCATTCTAAATGAAGAAGTGCATTTTATAAATTGAGTCTGAATTACGGATTAATACAAATGTGTATGCTGCACAAATGGAAACATCTCAATACAACAATTTTCTTAAAATCAGTGTATGGTGGTTTGTCTTTCGTTGCGTCTGGAGCTGATAGAAATTTTCAGAGAGCTTTATTGATACATACTGCATATGGCAGAATTGAGTGAAAACTACTTTAAATTACGGTAAATATGAATATATAATTTTTTTTTGTTTAGCTCGTTCGCAACAAATGCAATGATTCAATCATGCTTTATTTGATATCTTCACTCAAAACTTTTGTCAGAGTCTCCACAATTTCTGATGTAGTAACACTGTCCTCGATGTCTACTACGACATTGTACAACGTATGCAGCTTGTTTTTAAGCTCGATTCGCATCAACGAATCCATCCCAATGTCGCTCAACTCAGCCCCATAAATTCTACTGGGATCGCGTATACGCAACATTTTAGCAAGCAGGCGAACGACAGTCTCTTCTAAATCAACAGGAACAACGTCCGTGTGGTTTTGGCTTGTGGCACTCAAAGTTTCCTGATTATAATTTTCATTCGTCTTAACGTAGTGCTGCAGCCAAGTAGTTCGAACGTCCCCACTAAGTTTGGCCGGCATTACGTTGCTGCCAATCAGGTTTGCGTTTCGTAGAATATGCTCCATTGTATACATTCCCTGTGCCGTTGAAAATGGCTTGACCCCAAAAACAGTCCGATCTATCCCGGACGCCATTCCCACCTCACCCCACAGCCCCCAGGCTATGCTCGTTGCCTTAAGCCCTAGGCGGTGCCTGTAGTCAGCCAGGGACGCGAGTGCTGCATTTGCAGCTGAATAACTGGCTTGTCCAGGGCTCCCTAGAATCCAGCTAGCCGACGAGTAAAGTACAAAATACTCTAGATTTAGCGAGACGTGGCTGCATGAAGAGCCCATGCTCCATGAACCTTCCCAGCCCACACGAGATCTACCTTTTCCATAGTCATATTCGGGATTGTCGAATCCGAAAGAACGCCAGCCGCGTGAAAAATACCCCTAAGGGGCGGCAAGCGTAGGGAATAAATTTTTTCGAGTATTTGATCAACCCCGGGCGATGTGGAAATATCACCATGCTCCACGAAAACCCCGGCCAATTCATCGTCAGCATAATGGGAATGCGCAAGTCGCTGCTTCAGTTTGGACACCACGGTTTCTTTCCCGCCATGTCGTCTGCTCACCAGGACAATGTGCTTTGCTCCATTCAATAACATCAAGTTAGCCAGTTCAATTCCAAGTTCGCCGCATCCTCCGGTAATTAAGTATGTGCTTCGGTCATTAAAGATTTCCTTTATCCAATTAATAACCACTTTTCCAATGTGGGCCGCCTTTTGTAGGTGTTGAACGGCAGAAATAATAGCTGATGGTTCAAACACCGAGTATGTTATAGGTGTCAGCTTCTCACTGGTCAACCAACTTTGCAATTCATGTGCCAATTGAACCGTTCGGGCTTCGTCCTGAACACTGAGGTCAACAACCGAATATTCAACGTCTGGACGAAGTTTATTTAGTTCGGCGTGACTGAAAATGTTAAGTTTGCTCATCTCTATGAATCGTCCTCCTATTCTCGTCATGGACAAGGATGCCTCTTTCCAACCGGTTGACGTGAGTGAGTTGAGGATAACGTGGACCCCGGCGTTTCCTGTTGCCTTCTGAACCCCGGCAAGAAAACTCGATATATCTCTGCTGCTTGTAACATTTGTCAATCCTAGGACATGAGTTAAGTATGCTCTTTTCCTTCGGCTACCAGCCGTGCACACAATATTGGCTCCAATTTCCCGTGCGATCTGAATTGCGACAAGACCAACCCCCCCTGATGCGGTGTGGATCAAGACCCATTCTCCACGACTCAACTTACCAACTGTTACAAGTGAGTGGAACGCCGTGTAAAACGCTGTCGGCAAGGTCGCTCCCTCAGCATAGGTCATGTTCGGTGGGAGCAAGGCCACATGGGACGCATTTATCTTAACAACGTTTGGAAGTGGAGCATTATCCATATTCATTCCCAGAACGTTCGCACCAATGCACAAGTTACGAACAGCCGATCCGATTTGAATAATTGTCCGCAAATGTCTGCCCCAATGGAGGATTCTGACGTAAATTCCACGGTAGGCTTAATGATGCTTAAAATATCCTTGAAATTTAGGCCTGATGCGTGAACCCGGACTTGAATCTATTGAGCGAGAGAAAGTATAGATTAAAATATTATGGGATAGTACAATAGATGTTTCTAATGTTAATGTCTTGCCTGGTTTGCAGCCAAGGGTTGTGCACCCACAGTTGTGAGAGAATCGTCCCATTTTAAGTCCTCAACGGCACAAGATTCTGGCAGTCTTAATTGCATATGGGTTGCTTGCCGCATGGCAAGCATGGGATAAGGGGACAAGAGTGGAACTAGTTTTCCCTCATAGCGAACTCCGTCTCGATAGGTAACAAATGGGGCTTCACTACGACCACCTACTTTTGGTTTATTTTTAATTTCCGCCAATACTGTTCTCACCTTATGCATCGTGTCTTCCCTCTCATCAGGATCGATACACACTATGTCTAACTGCAGCATTTCGTTTGCTAATGATCGCGCAAATCCACGTAGTGCACCAGCAACTGGATAAATGGCCTCTTCGTCTTGCACTGGTATAAGACCATGACTTACTATGAATATTTCCACCCTCCCAACCGATAATAAAGCCTGAGAAAAAGTGAGAAAGTGTTTCACTTGTTTTCGCATTTGATTCTCCTGGTCGATTTCTTCTAAATGGGAATGTGGAAGGCAATATACGATTTTATCGTTAGGTTTTATTCTAATTTCCTGGTTAATAATATTGCGCAGAGTCGCTTTTCCTTTGCTAGAAGCCACTAGTTGGTTCGAAAACTCATCGTCGGCACTTGTAGTAATCACAGTGAAAGGTGATAGCGGAACTTCCTTATTCGTGGCCACAATTATTCCAATATCGAAATCTCTATTTTCTACAATTGCTATCTCTCCATACCCAGCGGACTGAAGAACTGGCTTCCATGCTTTTCCGTCAATTAAGCAGTGACCTGACCGTATGGTGTCTTTGAAGAGCCAGTATCCCTTACAGTGCCCGAAAACGATGTCAATAAATGCCGAGGGTCTTAATTGTTCGGCGATGAATATGTTTCCATCTCCTCCAAGCAGTAAGCGTAGATTTCCAACCACTTTGCCCAGATCAGTTGTTGCATGCAAAACGTTCATGGCAATAATAATGTCGAATGCCTCTTTTTCGAACCCCTGGGCAAGTACATCCTTCTCCAAAGTCTACTTGCACACCTTGAACATGCGGTAGGGAAACCTCTGCTTGATTGAGAAAACTGGTGGAGATATCGGTAAACGTATAAGTAGATCCGGTGCCGTGAAGATGTCGTAGGAGTTTGCGTGTCGCTGCACCGGTTCCCGCCCCCACTTCTAAAATTCGAAGCCCATCGCATTTGTCCTTGACGAAAGAGGCGAAAACACCAATCAGATTTTCGGTAAGAAGGGAGCACTGTGTTGTAGTGCTGTATAATCGTTCCGCAGAGAAGTTATTGGTCGCGACAGCTTTGTTACTAACAATTCCATTGGGTAGTTCCAGTGATGGTGACGTTGGAGGGAATAGGTGCGGAAGAATGGATTCCGATCCCCGAAGAAATTTGGACAATTTAGAAATATAAAATTCTGCAAAGGCCCAGTCATCTTGTAAAAGTCCACAATGATCACCTGAGTGCTGCTCCGTGATAACAAAATCGGAATGAGGTAATACCACGTATTCCGTTGGGGAGACTTTCTTCAATAGTCCTGCATCTCCAGCATAATGAAGCAGCCTAGCAAGAAAGGCTGGGGCAATGTGATTGACGCAAAGTCCAGAGGAAATTTGATCTGTTGATAAACGCTCACCAGGTGTTAAACATGCATTACCAAGACATTTTAAGGTTATTGCAACTTGATTTCCTATGAATGAGGCAATTTTGTGATATTCTTGAATTTCTGCAAGGGTCCGGGAGATTGCCGTAAAGGAAGAAATCTGGTTACTCATTGTTTTAGTGAGTGAGTAGCCAACTTTTATTTGGTTCTTGGAAGTCCACTCTTCGACAAACATGGGTAGCGCTACCTCGGGACCATCGATATTACCCTTTTCATTAATCAGTTTACCAATCGCTTTGACTGTTGTGCTGAATGTTTTCAACTTGGTGATGGATACTTGTGGACGGAATATTGAATCATTTCCTAGAACAAACAGCGTGGACGACAGATGTCTGGCCTGGACACGGAGTTGTCCGGGACAAAAAACGGGCTTATAATTATCGTCGCGTAGATGGGGGTATATTTCGCAGGTGGAAATTGCAATCGGCAACCTTAAAGTTGTCAGGGGAACTGATGCGAGAAATGCGGCCTGTACTAGGGCGTCCAATATAGTGGGATGAACCACAAAGCTTCCGATTTCATCTTTATCTTGATCAAGTATCCTTGGAGCAATATTTGCCGTAAGTGTATAATAGGACCGGAGGCTTGTAGTCTTCAAATTTGTTAGTGATCTGAATCTCCGGCCAAATTTATATCCTAATTCTGACATCTCAACATACGGAGATGTAACCGCATCACCAGCAAAGTTATCTAGGTATTTTTCTTGATTTTTCGTACCTATGTGCAGCACAATGGCATTTAATGAGGCGTGCAATCTCCATTCGCTGCAGTCAATTTCCCGTCGGCTGAATATAGAGATATTGAACTTTTCTCCATCGTAAATCACATTGGTTTGGATTTCCGACTTCAAATCAAGTGACAGAACAATTTGTATATCAATTTGGGACAACCGAATTCCACACGATTTCCCCTTTGATCCTGTAAGTAGGGTCACAACCGCAAAACCCATCTCGATATATCCCGCGGCTGGGAATATAGTGTAGGGCCCAACTTTATGATCTCGTAACCAACTACCTGTTCTATAAAGCATTTCGTCTGTAGAAGTTGTAAAGATGGATACAGGATTGATTATGCCACTTTCGGTGACAGATAGCATTGAGCCCAATAAGGGGTGAACAACTTTAGATTTGCTATTAACTTTAGCAACGCCGCTTCCTGAAATTGCACAAGGATTGAACCAAAATGGACCGTCATTTTGGAAAGGATATGTTGGAAGAAGATGCGGCACTTTTTTACGCGATATCCCATCGCCAACCAAACTTGTCCAAATGTTTGTCCAGTCAAGCTTAACACCATGAAGGTATAGAGTGGCGATTGCGTCCGATAAGGTGTTCCAACTGGGGACATTCCTGCAAAGCGAGGGAATAAATAATGGGTCATGGTCAGAGCAGTTCTCCTGCATTAAGGGTGAGAGAGTAGGTTGTGGACCAACTTCTAGGAATAATCGAGCACCAACATCACTTATGGCGGCTGTGGCGGATTCAATAAATTGCACTGGGTGTTTGAAGCATCCTGACCAATAAGAAGGATCTAAGGTTTCAGAATCATCTAACTTCCTACCGTACATCGACGAAATGTATGCCAAGCTGTGATTTCGCGACAAAAATTTAAATTCTCCAAGGTCCGCTTCAAGTCCAATCAGTGCTTTCGCCAAAGACCGTGAGTGGTAAGCGTGATGAGCGAATTTAACAAAAGTGGATTTCATATTATAATTTGTCTTCGCGAACGTCGCAAATTTTTTCATTGTTTCAGGCGGACCGGACACCACTGTCTGAGTTGGCGAGTTAAGCGCCGAAATGTCTATCCAAGCCTCCATAATTTCATTGCTCATAATGTGTTTCTCGGTGTATTCACGAATCATTCTTCGTGTCGTTGACTCATCAGCCATTAGAGCGACCATTCGCCCTGGCTCTATCTTTTCAGACACAATTTGTCGCAAGGACACCATCAATCGCACTGCAAGAGTTAGATCCAGCGCACCTACTGCCATTGCTGCCGCCACTTCCCCAAATGAGTGCCCAATGACACACAGGTTAGGACTGACACCCCATTCCATCCACATGTTGAGAAGTGAGTACTCCACCGCAAATATACACATCTCCGGACAACGCGATATATCTTTGTCATCCCGTATTAAGTCAAGGAGATTTATTTCCGCAATTTTGATGAAGTGGGTGTTTACTTCGTCAAAGTGGCGACGGTACTGAGGGCATGAATTATATAACTCTAATCCCATGTCGACATATTGACAACCTAGCCCTGGGAAGAGAAAAGAAATGGGAGGGGGTCTAGTTGTCTTTTTGGTTTTTATATTCTTTTGACCGTTCTTTTGACCTCGTTGGATTTGCGATCATCCGATCGAAGAGCATCGAGTAGCTCGGAACGGTTGTGACCAGTTGCAATTGATCTATATTCTTCAGAATGATGTCGACAAGTAGATGCTGTGTAGCAGTAGGCTGCTAATACGTCGCTATGGCCTACAAAGAAAATAGGAGATCAATTGTTTCACTCATATAAATATAAGGCTAAATACATTACCATCAACGAAAGTAGAGTAGGTCAATTTGTACGATAATTCAGGGCTCTCAAAAGTGTGAGATGCATGAATAACAATATTAAAACTAAGCCTGTACTTGAAATATTTTAATTCTTACGGAATTTATAAGATTTGCTTAACAATTTTGACATTGGCGATAACCAAGCAGTCTTTAAACTTCAACTCAAAAGTGCAACCAGAATGTAAGTGCAGAATACTTTAAGCTTGAAAAATATTGATTCGGTTTGAATATTGATTCGGAATGAATTTCATGAGAAAATTACCTTGTTCTTCCAATTGTTCCAAAGCTACGATATGTTTTTTCCTCAAATGAACAATAGCAGATGAAGACTTCGCTGAGAATGGAAGTATGTAGAGCTGTGCAGTTTTTTGCAAGGCTGGGTGACTTTTAGGTGTTTGCTGAGTATGTACGCGCTCCAAGATAAAGTGTGTATTCGTTTCTGTGATGCCGAAAGACGAAATACCAGCAAGAGATCCTTTCCAGTCAATTGTCGTTCTCGGTATCGCTAGTCCATTGAAGTCGAGTTTTGGATTAAGGGCAGCAGTGAGAAGTTGGGGTGGAATGGATCCGTATTTCATGGCTAAAAGAACTTTCAGCAAACTAGCAGCTGCCGACACACTTTCCGTATGGCCAATATTGGCCTTAATGGAAGTAACAATCAGTGGGCTCGTTCTTTCGCTTGATGAGATTTGATAACCCAGTCGAGTTGCAGCTACTTCCATTGGGTCACCGAGACTAGTCCCGGTCCCGTGCATTTCAATCCAGTCAACCTCCTTCGGGTGCAGTGAAGCGTCTGCTAGGGCGCAAACCATAGCTGCTGCTTCGCCGTCAACAGTCGGGGTACCAATATGTCGACTCAGACCGTCTTGCGAAGATCCAAAGCCCCTTATAACTCCAAGAATGTTATCGCCATCCTGCTTGGCTTCCGAGACTCGCTTGAGTACATAGATGACACCACCTTCCGCCCTTACATAACCGTCAACATCCTTCTGAAACACCTTACAACGACCAGAAAGTGATAACACCCCCTGTAATGTTCACAATTTGAATGTACAAATCAGTTTAGGTTATGCTTACAAGCCAAGAAAATACATTGGATTCGATAACCGTTGGTGGTTGAAACTTCGTAGTCAGGGTTGGCTGCATTATTTAGCCGCTAAATGATTATAAAATAGAATCTAATTGTACCTGAAAATCCTCATACTTGTACGGCTTCAGAATAAGGTTCGCTCCACCAGCAAGAGCCAGGTCTGTCCTCCGGCTTCGTAAGTGTCGCACCGCGGCACCGATGGCACAAGCACTATGAGCAAGATGAACTACATGCCGCTTCAATACCTTCGGTTGGACCAATTGTTCCAAAAAATTGAGCAATCCTTGCCGCCGAATTTCCAATAGAGCATCCAAGATAACGGCGTACCTCCTCTCCGCCTTCGGCAGATCCAGGGGTTAAGACAAGATCTTTATATTCTTCTCTCCATAGACCAACAAGAACAGCTGCCGCTGTTCCACGTAGCGACTTGAAAGAAATTCCAGCGTTCTCCAGAGCCTGAAGATGCAATAATATTTAAGTTTTTTCACTGGATATACATATATCTACAGGAATCGTGACTTAATTACTTAAATCCCGAAAGCGTGAAACTAACCGAATTCAGTCATGTGGTCAATTATAATTCAAAAATTGCCTTCCGGTGACCCTTAAAATTTTACCATTTTAATCTGCTTACCTCCCAGCTAAGCTGAAGTAGAAGCCGGGCCTTGTAACCACACGGAACCCACTACCTCGTGTGCTCCCTCTCATGGACAGTCTGTGTAAATTGTGCTCATGGTAGAGAAGGAGGAGTTAATTTCGTAGACATTTGTAATCTTAAAACTCGTGTACAGATCTTAAACTTGGCCAGTAATAAATGGACCTTCCAATTGTGACCATCTCTTCTCCCATCTAATAATTTGGCCGGCACTCGCATCTCTTCAGCACTCATCACAATTTCATAGTCGTCGTCGTCATTTTCATCTCATAATATCGGGTCATCCTCATCATCTAGGGAGCTGTGAGTCGGGGTCAAGGTAGAGTAAGTGGGGAACGGACTTGAATCGGTTCGTAAGAGAGATAAAGGGTCATAAATTGACGACTCTTGCCAAGATTCGGGTTTTTTTAAAATTTATTGTATGGAAAATTGCCGAATTGGGATAAAATTATCTTTACATGTATGGGAAATGGTCAATTTTGCCAAATAATTTTTTTTAATAGTTTTTGGGGAAAATAAGTATTGAATCTTATAACAAATTTGTATGGGTTTTTTATTTGAGAGGCAATATGAATATGTATGTGAAATTGTGAGGAAAAGCTAACATGTTTTTGATTGTATGCACAGTTTTTGCTGAAGTTTCTTGAAAAGAGGTGACAATTAAATTTTTGGGCAGCGACGGTCCATCAATCACGTTGGTGGAGAGGATTTTTGTTGTGATGTTTGCTGGTCCACCCACATTTTATAAGAAGAGCAATACGCAGTCACTCGTCGTTGTAATGAGGTTCGTATGTGTGTAAGGAGGTCTTTATTAGCTCGCCCTGCGTAGCAGAGGAGCTATTGAATTCCTCTTGTCCGTCCGTCTGTCTGTCTGTCTGTCCGTCTGTCTGTCCGTCTGTCTGTCTGTTAACGACTCTTTTGCATCAATTGATGCTAATTACTGCGACTTATTCACGTTCGACTTAATAGCACCACTGGTATCGAACAAGCGGCGACTCAAAATGGTGCCAAACAATTGATGGAATAGGTGAAAAACGCACAAAAAGTGCAGAAGAACCGAAAGAAATGACTATAATTTTACTATGAATTTGCCAATATTTCATGTCAAAATTACTGTTTGTTTTCCTTCATTTATTTTCCACCATCGGCGCAAAATTATGTCACAATTATGTATATATTTTTTCCGCTTGTTCTGCACCATTAATGCAAACTTATACCAAAATTGCATAACAATTTTATTCGTCTATTCTGCACTTTGGTGGACAATTATGTCAAAATAATTCTCACAGGGTGAGCTACTTCCACCGTTACAACGGTTACAAGCGGCGACTCAAAATGGTGCCAAACAATTGATGGAATAGGTGAAAAACGCACAAAAAGTGCAGAAGAACCGAAAGAAACACCTATGACTTTTGACGTCAAGTTTTTTTATGTTTTTATGTTACTCACCAAAAGTGCAGAGTATCTGGATACAATTTGTCTCCCTTTTTTCCCAAGAAAAAGTCGAAATTATGTCAATTTTATGGATCTATATTCCCCGCTTATTTTTCACTATTGATGCAAAATTATATCAAAAACATGCATTTATTTTCAAATCATTGCAAAGTTATACACAACACCAACTGGGTTTCGGCTCTCTTTAAGCCCAAGACAGGTCGCTACTCCGTTACCGTTCATCAGGTAACCAGCAGGTTACGACCCAGTGCGATTTCTATTTATGAACCCATGACATCTTACATCGCATCTGGGCCCTGGTAATGTATACTTCAACATTACCAGAGCAATTTGATGAACCCAGGGTATGATAGAGATGCATATGAACCAGAGGTATGATAGGGCATAGGAACCAAGGGTATGATAGGGATGCATATGAGCCAGCCGCCATTAGATGCCACTACCTGTCCCAGTCAGTATCTCATTTGGGAAATAATTTCCTTGTACTTAACTCCGACCAGGAGTGCACTCAAATGAGACACTATTAATGACTTGGGACACCCTAATCTCGATGACTTCATTGCAAAAATGCAATAAAATACACCTACCTTTTTTAGACGAACTTGGGTAACTTTGAACCTTGACGTATCGTTTGAATCTGAAAAAATCAATTAGTGAACCAATCAAATAACTTGGATATTCCGATTGAACCAATGAAAGAAAGATGAAGATCTGAAAATTGAATAAACTTAGATTAAATACATATATGACACTAAAATTAAATAAGGGCTGGTAGTGGCATACTATGGCCGCAGTACGATAATACGTTAAAATTATTGAGGGGATGATGAGGTGATGCAAATAATTTTATTGTCATTTTTAATTACCAGAACAATTTTCAATGATTATGATAAAGATGCATATGAATTTGTACTGTTTTAGGAGCTAGTTCTGGTAATGTGTGTTTCAACATTACCAGAACAATTTGCAATGATTATGATAAAGATACATATGAATTTGTATTATTTTATGAGCTAGTTCTGGTAATGTGTGTTTCAACATTACCAGAACAATTTTCAATGATTATGATAAACATGCATATGAACAGCGTGTTTCAGTGCTAGCAGATAGTTAGTTTTGGAGGTGGAATTATATCGATTTGTATAGGAAAATGTATCCATCGCCAACGCAGTGCTTAGAAATGTAGACTTCGTCATCATCATAGATTATCCAATCATTCCCACGCCTAAAATTCACAACATAATGGCCTGAATTTAAGGAATCCCCCAAATGACTAACTATAAGCGTCAAGGCGTAAGCATTAT